CCACAGAGACTTCAGAGCCATAGATTTTCTGGGAACAGATTTTGTGAAAAAATTCATGAATCCATTGGTTTATTGAAGGGATTGCATCTTCTCAAATTTTCAGATCACACATTCAAAGGCAACAACCCTCAATCATTGGCAAATTTGAGAAATGTTTAGGCATTAGACCTATCTCAGAATCGATTGTCAGGTCAGATTCCTCAAGTTTTTGGTAGCCTATCTTCTTTGTCCTACATGAACTTTTCCAACAACAATCTTGAAGGTCCAATACCACAGCACACAATTTCAAAACCAACATTGTTCTTCGTTTATGAACAACCCTAGACACTACGGTCTCGAAGAAATATGCGGGTAAATGCATGTTCCGTAACTTGCACCAAAACAACCAGAGGAATTGCTTGAGCCATAAAAGGAAATGATTAACTGGATAGCATCAGCGATAGCCGTTGGACCTGGTGTCTTCTGCGGATTTGTGATTGGACATATCTTTGGTTTCACACAAACATGAATGGTTCATGGAAACATTTGATGGAAAGAAGCCGAGATTACTCACCATAAGTGCTCGTTGAACACCATCTCTTACAGTTTCTGTAAGTGTTTGTTAAGCAAGTTCGTTTGTTATGTATATGCCAGCCAGGTGTGTTCCCCAAAAACTCGTGTGTTGTAAATCATCATATATATTATAAGCAAAGTAAAATTTTGAGTCAAAGCTCTCTCATTCAATCTTAGGTGGCTAATTACCCTTTACCCCTTCTAATATTTTTTAAATTTAAATCTAATAAAAATTATTAAAAATCGTAAATTAATTAAAAATATTTAAAAACGTAAATTAATTAAAAATTATGAAAAATTGTAAAATTAATAAAATAAAAAATATTTAAAATCGGAATTTAATAATAAAAATTTTAAATTCAATAAAAATTATTAAAAATCAGAATTTAATCAAAAAAACTTTAAAATAGAAAATAAACAAATATTAAAAATTGGAATTTAATCAAAAAAACATTTAAAATCATATCATATATAATATATGCACAGTAATTTTTTCGCTATAAGCTCTCTCATTCAATCTAGGTGACTAATTACTCTTTATTCTTTAATAAAATCTTTTTAAATATCCTTAATTAATTAATTTATATTAATAATTTGTATAACAAATTTGCTGTTATTTTCATACAAATTATCAAAATAAAAGAAAAAAAAAACGGTAAATGAAGAAAATAAAGTATAAGAAGATGAAAACCCGAAGATGCAAAAGAAAAAATAGAAGAAAAGTAAAGATGTGAAAAAGACAAACAAAAATTAGAAAAAAAAGTTTGGATAAAAAAATGACCAAGAAGAAGTAAGAAACAGAAGATAAAAATGACTAATAAACCCAAAAGAAGAAGAATAAAAGATGTGAAAGAATAAGAATTTAGAGAATACAATGACAATAAAAGAAAACAAAGAAGATGGGGCAGACAAATAAAACAAAGAAAATCAACAGAAAAAAACGAAGAAAAAACCGAATGAAAAAAAAATTAAGAAGTCAAATAAGATGAATACAATACATAAGATGAAATAGTCAAAAATAATAAAAGATAAGAAGGAAAAAACAAAGAATATGAAAAGCTAAAAAAATAAAGAAAAAGGAGAAGAATAAGAAAACAATAAAAATATGAACAAAAATTAATACAGTGAACAAGTAAGATAAAAAAGAAAAGCCAGATAGGTCGAAGACGATGAACAAAAAAAATCAAATGACCAATTGGAGAAGAAAAAAAAGATAATCAGAAGAAGAAGTCATAGAAGAAAACCAGTAGATAGTAGACGGAGTGAAAGAAAAAAATAATAAAAAGGAAGAAAACTAGAAGATGAAGAAGACAAATTAGAAAAAGGTAAATATGATGAAAAAATGAAGACAAATAAGAAGTAAAAAAAGATGAAGACAATAAAGAAGAACAATTTGAAAACAAATAACGATGAAGAAAAACTCAAAAATACAAGGAAAAAAAAAACTAAGAAAGGAAAAATATAGACCAGAAGAAGAGTAGAAAGACAGATAAGACAAAGATCTTTAAAATATGATGAAGAATTTGGAGAGAGGAAGATAATTGGAAGAAGAGGAATAAAAATCCATAGAAGGAGAAAAAAAATAAAATAGAAGACAAAGTAGAAGAAGAAGAAGATAGGAAAGAGAAAAAATTGAATGAATACTTTAAAAGATGAAGAATTAGAGAAAGTAGAAGAATATGAAGATGACGTAAAAGCCGAAAAATACCAGAAGAATAGGAAATCGGTGACAACCCAGAAGACGATGGCAATGAAAAAAGGAAAAGAAAAAACAACAAAAAAAAAGAGCATAATAAAACATTGAAGAAGAAGAAGAAAAAGAATAAAATCTGGAATAGAAGAAAATCAAAAGATGTATGAGAGGAAGAAGAACAAGATGTGGAGAAGAAGAAGAAGACGTGAAAAAGAAAAACCAAAAAAATAAGAAGTAAGAAAATACATAGAAAATAAAGAAGAAAAAAATAGGAAAAAAACAAAAAAGAAAACAGAAAAAAGAAAGAAAGAAGAAAATGATAGAGAAAAAAAATTTAAAAATAAAAAGAGAAAAAGATGAATAATTCATATTAATTTTGATTTTAGTTTGTGTTTATTAATTTTATACACTTATTAATATTAATTTTAAGGTATTTAATGTTAAACAATGATTATCATAGATTAGCTTTATTTTTAATTTTGTGACGTAAAATAAAATTTTACGTTTCAATGAAACTCTTCGGTCCGCGCAAGGCGCGGACTAAACACCTAGTTTCTATTTAATGGTTTTGTAATAAACATTTTGATGGTAGATTTTTATATATTTTTTGGCTTGAATCGCCCAATACACCTTCCTACCCCAGTCTCAAATCTTAAATCTAAAATCTAAATCAATATCCAGTGGTAAGTCGACTTATATATATAAAGTTATAAATACATGACAGTATACGCAAATTTGAAAAGAATAAAGCACTTTCTCTTCAGGAAGCCACAAAGAATAATAAAGTTAAAACACTTACACTGTTATACATTGAAGAAATAGCATTTGCAACAATTTATCTTCTCAAGCCATCACTGCTCTCTTTCCTTTACTGCTTTTGGTATTATCTTTCTTCCTTCTGGAAATCCCAGTGATGGGATGACCCAAAGGACCTGACCAGGTCTGGACTTGCGTAGGCGGTTCGTCTTTGGAAAAATTGAAGGAAGTGGAAGTGAAGGATGAGACCATGTCTGGTGGGACGAATGTCGGGTCTATGTGCTGTGAGGCCCCCAATGGTCCCATTGCTCCACCATCTTGGTGCGGTGGTGGAAACTTCTCGCTCTTGCTCTTTGCGTTTGCGTGTGTGATTAATCTCCTTCTCTGTTTTTTTAGAGTCAAAGATAACAAAATGTTAAAGCTACACATATGTGAATAAATGGATTGGTCTCTTCGTGTGTATGTAGATATGCCGGAAGCTGAGCACTAGTGACGGTTTTTACTGTCCTAAAAGCATAATCATCAGTGGAATATAGCTATTATTCAACTCAATTCCTAACATAAACATCAACCTATATGCATAAGTACATAGCAAAACCAATCTATAAAAACATTATTCATTATGTATCTAAAAGCAACCTGATTCGAGTTATAGGGATAAATGTAGAAAAGAAGAGTAAGTAATTGAAAAGAAAACAGCTGAGAGGGACATACATCGAGATTTGTCTGAAGTTCGGCATTAGCTTCTGGAGCTGGAAGTGCTCGATTCGAACGATCTCTGTGGCGATTCTTCCTTGCACCATCCCCTTGGGCTTTACTAGCAGCTCTTTGTCTGCAAAGAAGAAAAGTGTTTGTCTATGCGTATTAAAAATTACAGTATAAAATAGCTACAACTGATGGTGGACACAACACTAATATCTAAATTTTCAAAGTAAATGTGTCTCACTCAACATTATCTGGATGGTGATAAGTTATATCCAGCCTAAGTCAGAGCCTAAATCAGTATAGTAGGAAATATTATATACACTACCTTACTTTTCAGTATGTCAATCATTTTTTGAGTTAATTATACCAACTTATGAAACCATTTCAACCTTTTGTATCCTCAGCAATTGAAAAACTTAGCTTAAGATTCATATATGCTGAATATGAATAGTCATATTGCCTTGGCTTTCTTGAATACGTGGAAAACAGAGGCTACCAAAAGATGGTTAGCATTGAATAAAATGCTATAGTGGAAATGTTACTAACCTCCGAGTTTCTTCATCTCGTCGCTTTGCATCCATTTCTTTGCTTGGAGGATACTTTGGCAGATCAGCAGGTTCACACGCATATGGTTCGCTTGTAAAGAACTGGACAGGAAAAATGGCAAAGTAGAGTGATTCATACCTATACAGCATCATCAGATCAGTTCATGTAAAGCAGCAACAACATCAAACATAAGAACTTACTTCACTTTTCAAAGCAGCAGTTGCAGTTTGGCGATCTTCTGGTTCGATCGAAAGAAGGGCATCAATGAGTGGAAGAGATGATGGCGGGAAATCTTTAAACGTCACTCTTATGCATCTTTTGTAAGGCTCACGGGGTTTATATATCGCTCCGTGTGTGAATTTTCCTTTTTTCCAGTAGTCATCTGATGGTGAACCACAGAGCTTGTAAATCTTATGGAGTTGCTCCACCTAATTCATGATGCAGAACGAACTTCAATATACAGAACAAACTACAAAATACAAATATTTAATGAGAAAATAGGACGATGATTCGACCAGATACCTCTGTCCGACCGGGCATAATAGGTCTTCCCGCCAACAGCTCAGCTAATATACAGCCGGCACTCCAAAGATCAATACCTACACCATAATCAGTAGCTCCAAGAAGAAGCTCTGGAGCTCGATACCAAAGCGTGACCACTCGACTCGTCATTGGCCGCTTGTGATTAGGATCAAAAATCGTCGCCAGTCCAAAATCAGCAATTTTGAGGACCCCACCATCATCGATAAGAAGATTTGAACCTTTGATGTCACGATGAAGCACACCACGACTATGACAATGCTCCATACCAGATAGCAATTGACGCATTAAACATTTAACCTGCACTAAGGAAGAGTAATTTGTTCTTAGCAAGAGACCAAAATTGCCTTAGTCAGTACCTTTCTATAAATTTTTAGAATGTGAGATAGTGTACGCCTAGCCTAACCTCTGGTTCTGAGAACTTAACAACAGGGCTTGAAGCAAGACCAGCCAAATCATGATCCATGTATTGAAATACAAGGTATAAGCTACAAGACATCCTCGACGTAACCAAACCTTCCAACTTCACAACGTTAGGATGATCGAGTCTCCTCAATACGAGAATCTCTCTTGCCATAAACTTCACACTTTCCGGCTCCAAGTTGTCAAACCGAACCTTTTTGAGGGCTACGATTTTACCAGTCAACATATCCTTTGCTTTGTACACATTACTGTATGTTCCTTGTCCAATCTACCACAGGAAAAATGTATCTAAATGAGAAATTTCCCAAAATACCAAAGACCAAACTTTGGTTGCAGAAAAGCAAAACAAAAACAAACAATAAAACCCACAATTTCAATCTATCAATCACCTTATCGATTTTCTCAAAAGTGTCGGCTTTTCTTGGAATCCAACCATTTAGGGCTTCACCACAAGCATCTGAAAGCCAAGAAGGCCAACCAGCAGCGACCTGTTCACCACGCAAATGCTTTGATGGATTACTCAACCGTGGGTTAGGCTTTGACCTTCTGCGATCTCCTTTCGATTTCCTATCTTTCTCAGTGTTTTCTTCCTTTGGAATCTCCTCATGCTTCTTCTCCACATCCACAATAGCACCATTGGTTTTACTCACTTTCACAGTTTCTTCCGCTGCGCTAGTTTTGGAGCTCTTTGCAACTTTAGATTCAGATGTTGCTGTTGCTGTTGATGTTGCTGTTGTTCTCCCAGACGATGCCTCTCGGCCAAATACACAACCCATTTTGTCAATCTAAGCTTCATCTCTCACCATTATTCAACTCCGAAACCTAACAAATTAGAATGTACAAACCATTCAGAGCTATAAAGAAGAAGCTATACAATCGGAAAAAGAAGTTGAGTGAAGTCGATCTGGGATTTACTTAGGTCAAATCGAGGAAAATCCCTAACCCTAATCGATGATTCCGAGCTCCATGGAAGCTCAAACTTTCGCAAGAAAAAAAAAAAGTAGGTAGGAGTTAAAATGAGAAACCTAGCTGCAGAATCTGATTGAAGGTTTCTCGCCAGCAGAGATCGAGTCTTCAGAGCTTGAAACTGTGCTTGAAAGAGAGAGGGAGTGAGGGAGAGGGATAGAGGAGGAGCAAGAGGGAGAGCGAGAAGAGAAGTAGGCGAGCGTTTTTTTGGTCTCACCGAATTTTTTTTTTTTGACAATTTTGTGTTTAGTGTTCCTAATCTTTTCTTGTAAAAATGAACATGAAACGAAGAAAAAGGAACGCAGATCTCCTCAAGGGTCAACCTAGAATAAAAAAAATGGTGGAAATAGTCCATAAAAATAGGTAGATTATTTGCACTCAACATTGGTCAATCTGTTTGGATAAAAAAAACATCAAATCAAAATATGTAGACTGTTAAGTAGTAATTACAAAAAATAAGATCTTAAAAATAAAAACAGTGCAAACTGTGTACTTCCATCAATATGTAGAATGTTGAAAAAACTATATTTGTTGCATTCCGCATATTGTTGTTATAGTATATAGAGTCCGCAGAATATGTATATTGTTGTAGTATGCAATTCGCATAATTTGCATACTGTTATCTGTTGTAATATACGGTCCACATAATCTGCATAATGTCACGACTATTGGTGTCAGATTGCACCCCTGGGGAGGAATCAATAACCGAACCAAAAAGATGGGAATTTGAAACATCGGAAAGTCTTGCAGTATCCTATCCCTAACAGAAAAGGAGGGGTGCGAGATGACTTAAGGCCTGACTTGGAGCTACTTCTTAAAGCCCATTTAAAACGAGTTCGGTGAGTTTTTTTTTTTTTTGGGTAAAAACGAGTTCGGTGAGTTTTAAAGACAATACAATCAAAACGGAAGAATCCCATTAATTACGACAAGATTAATGCGGCATCAACAAGGTATCCAATTTTTACATCTGAAACTACAAAAAACTTCTTTTGTATTGTTGTTACAAGTACTCATCAATAAAATCTTAATTTTGTTAAAAAGGATAATTATCCTATTATTTTATGATTTACTTAAGTCTATAAATATGTTCATTCCCTTGTAAAAGAGTATGAAGTGAATAACATTCACCCTTCTTCCTCAACGCTCTCTTCTTCTCATCCTCCACTATCCAAAGAAAATAATATATTATAATATAACATATATATATAATATATATACAAACACATAAACACTCACCTATATAATATCACATAATATATAAAAAAATTTGAATTCTTAACATCTTATATTATTAATTGACAAAAACAGTAAAAAAAATTTTTTTATCTCCTATATTATTTACATGAGTGATATACTTAGGTGTCAATTTTAAAGAGGCCCTAAGTGATTTGACGTCTAAAGCGTACTGTAAAAATGATGTCCTTAATCAAAAAAAAAAATAAAGCTTAAGTTCAAATTTTTTAAGCTCAAAATCAATTTTTTAGACCAAAATCGATTTTTATAAGGTAGAATCGATTTTTTGAAGCCCAAAATCGATTTTTATAAGCCATAATTAATTTTTTTAAAAAATATTTGATAGGGATAGTAACTTTTATTTATAGGCAATTTTTCTTTCCCATTTTTTGTAGTTGGTCGATGTGTGATAACTCTATTTACACACTTAAAAAAAAAACAATTTGAGCTTTTTTAGCTGCCCCAAAAATTAATGTCTTTTGGACCGCCCTGAAGTCATTGCTTCGGGGGCCTTACTTGTGGGCCGACCCTATTCTCAGATATAAGTTATATAATATGTCATTAACATTAATTAATCATATTCTATTTTTTATCAATATATTTATAAAAAACTAATACATAATATTACTTAGGTTACTAAACATTATATTTCTTATCTCATCTTTCTTTGATCTTAATTTTATTAAAAAAAATAATCATATTCTCTATTTAATAATAAAAAAATCTAAATATTTTCATACATATTATAATTCAAATTTTTTATATCAAAGCAAAGTATATTTAGTCTAATGTTAGACCGGTTAGAAAGAACGTATTAATTTAATTTCATATATTTAACATGCAATTTCATTCATATAAAAAATACTATTAAAATTAATTATACGACCAATAATTATCTAGCATTTATGCAATTGTATTATAAAATAAATGTAATTATAATTATTATTTACAATTGCATAAAACACATATATTTGCAATTATAAATATCAGCTTAATTTATATAATTATATTTATATACATTATATTTACATATTCGAGAAAAATATAGCTAATATTTACTCCGCACATGGTGCACATAATCACCTAGTTTTTATTACTTCTCATTCATTTTCATTCAAATTTTTCTATTAACACGAACATAGTATTAAAATAATATCATTGAACCGGATCTTACATCCACAAATTTAGCATCAACTATAGGGAGAGAGCATTCTGATTCACTAGTAATTCTCGTCCTAGCCATTCTAGATCTTTGGCGATATTATGAGAAAATGGTTGCTCTCCTGAAAGATATCTAAAAAACTGTTTAAAAACATCACGAGGAGGCCAGCGCGCGCTGAAGACTCCCTAAGAGCAGCACAGGTTGCAGAAAGCCGTTCTGCATACCAACCAGAGTCTGCTTCAAAGTGCTTATCTCAACACTTCGTCTGACACTCAATCGCTCGCCCACATGCTCTATTTAAGCCAATTGCCTCGAGTGCAGTCACTCAAATCACTTTGAGGTCAACAAACAGGACATATGGATACATGAGCTATGTTGGTGGTACGCTCCGCTCCCCGGTCCGGACTGGTTAAAGACCGAGATCGGCCCAATTGACTCCGGTTTACGATGGTCTTAGCCGAAATGGGCCTGGCCTGACAGCGCGGCCCATCAAGGAGAAGCCCAGCGACGAGAGGCGGTGAGAACCAAGCGAGAAGCCCTAGAACGTCTCCTCGTTTGCGTACTATAAATAGTAGAATTGTTACTGTAGAAGGGATCTTTTTCGGACCCGGAGAATAGAGACCTGAATATTGTATCGAGTTCGTCGAGAATCCTCCGAACCGAACGAACTGTAACTAAGAACTTAAATAAAATTTGATCGACTTAAGATCTTTCGAACTCAAATTACCGGACCGACCTCGAATAGTTGAATACAGTAATCAACAATTGGCGCCCACCGTGGGGCCGGTTCGGTAATCGGCCAGGACAATATGACAAGTAATGATAGACAACCGACCCCAATCCAGGTCGGAAGTCAGATGACCTGTGACGATGAGATCGCCCGGGTCGGAGGGCCTACGGACCAGGTCGAAGGGTCTGTGGAAGAATGCGAACGCAGCCCCGTACAACCCCAGTCGGAAGCGCAACAAGTCAGGACAGAGCCAAGCTCGAGCGCCGGGGCGCACCCGACCTCACCAAATCGAGCTCAAGTTGCCTTCGATCCAGCTGCGCTTATGAACGCCTTCGCCGCGCAGATACAAGAGTTGGTCAGAAGCAACGACGCGAAGTTCGCAACCCTCACCGCACAGATCTCCAACCTACAGCAAGAGAGTCCGATCAGAAGACGGAACCTCATTAGTGACTTCCAAGAGGAGCGAGACCCGCAATGCACGGTGGCACGGTCAGTAGTTCAGCAGTACTAGTAGACAGAGAGCCCATCTCAGCATGTGCGAGCTTAACCAACAACACGCGACCTGGAGATCGAGCGAATGCAGGCTCAATTGCGAGAGATCAGTTCCAAGTTTCACCAAGCCACCAGCTCAGCACCTGAAATCGACCGTGTAATCCAAGAAGCACAGAAAACACCGTTCACTTCCCGGATCACCAACGTCCCCGTCCCAAACTTAGAAAAGTTTAAGCTACGGTCGTACGAGGGGAACTCCGATCCGAGGCATTTCCTTACCTCGTTCGGTATCGTAATTAACCGACTGAAGTTCACATCGGCCGAACAGAAGGACGCGATTCAATGCCAGTTGTTCGTCGAGCACCTCGAAGGCATTGCTCTGGACTGGTTCTCAAGATTGGAGGCCGACTCCATCGATAACTACAAGGAACTCTCGACGAAGTTCGCAAAGCATTTCTCGATGTTCATCGGGCAGAAAACTCGTAACTCCGAGCTGTGGGAGATATCACAGAGCGAGAATGAGTCGCTCCGAGACTTCATGGCACGTTTCAAACAGATCATAGCACACTGCACAGTGGACGATGAAGCCGCTCTCGAGGTTTTGTACCAGAAAACGTGGTATAAATCCCCCTTTCACAAAGAACTTCGCAGGAACAGACCGCTCACCCTCGAGGACGCGCTCCATAAGTCAAACATCTTCATCACGGAAGAAGAAGAAGAAGCCACCAAGGATCGGCAGTATTCAACGACAAAGCCAGGCCAAACGCCAGCCCCCAAGGAGAGCTCGGAAACGAAGACCCAGCCCGGGAAACCGCGCGGAGTAGTAAATCAAGCTGGACCGTCGAACCAGAGGACAGGACGACCTCCAAAATCTTGGAACACATGGCACAAGGACGACGATACGCCACTGAGTGAGCGTTTTTGCGAGTATCACGAGCGATATGGGCATATCACGGAGGAATGCCGACATCTGAGGGATTTCTTACTTCAACAGTTCCGCAAGGGCGAGATCGACACCGCAGATTTGCCTAAACCGGGACCTCGGCGGCCGAACCCGCGACCAAACAAGCCTGGCAATCAAGAAGCTGCCAAGGCAACCGACTCCGATGACGAACAGGTCGCTCCCCCGAAACGAGACCGGGAAGCACCTAATAGAGAGCCAAACGTCCCAAAAACCAGGAAGAAGGTCAACATGATTATGGGAGCCCTCGAATCATGCAACTATTCCGTCCGAGCTCTCAAAGAATACAGCCGACAAGCGTCGAGTTCGCAACCCCAGACAACGGTCACAACTGTACCAATTTTATTCACAGAAGCCGACCTGCGGGGAGTGCATATGCCTCACAATGATTGCCTCGTCGTCGAACTCCAGCTCGGAGATGTCGAAGTCAGCAGAATCTTAATCGACACAGGGAGCTCGGTAAACGTCATATTCCGAGAGACATTAAAGAACATGGATTTTCCGGACTCCGAGATCAAGCCCTACATGGAATCATTAACCGGGTTCACTGGAGAAAAAACAAGAACAGTAGGAACAGTGAAGATATCCATCTATGTCGGCGGGTCAAATTCTTGGTACTCATCAAACCGGCGATATACAATGCGATTTTGGGAACGCCCTGGCTGTTCGACATGAAAGCTGTCGCTTCAACGTTCCATCAGTGCGTCAAGTTCCCGACCCCATCAGGGATTTTCACCCTCAAAGGAAGCCAGACCGCGTCTCGATTATGCCACCTTACCGATTGCAAACTAAGCATGGCACGGACATGCGTCATAAGCCCCCTTCAGGACGGACGTACGGCCGCAGAAAGCCAGTTTGGTCTACCCAAGCAAAGCCAGGTCGACCAAGTCGGCATTGACCCAACAGATCCAACGAAATGTGTCGGCATAGGGGCCGAGCTCGACAACAGTATCCGGGAAGCACTCATCAGTTTCCTCCAGAAAAACGTCTCCACATTCGCATGGAATATCAGCGACATGCCCGGAATCAATCCCGACATCACTTGCCACGAGCTAAACATCGATCCCACATATAAACCTATCAAACAGAAGAGGCGCAAGCTTGGACCCGAGAAGGCACGAGCGGTAAACGATGAGGTCGAAAAGTTACTCAAGGCCGGTTCGATCACAGAGGTTCGATACCCGGACTGGCTAGCAAACCCGATAGTTGTAAAGAAAAAGAATGGAAAATGGAGGATCTGCGTCGACTTTACCGACCTGAACAAAGCCTGTCCTAAGGATAGCTTCCCACTGCCACACATCGATCGGTTGGTAGAGGCAACGGCAGGCAACGAACTGTTGTCTTTCATGGATGCCTTTTCGGGGTATAACCAAATCTTAATGCATCCGGACGATCGGGAAAAGACTTCGTTCATTACAGCTCGAGGGATCTACTGCTATAAGGTCATGCCGTTCGGCCTCAAAAACGCGGGAGCCACCTATCAAAGACTCGTGAACCGCATGTTCGCTAGCCAGCTCGGAAAAACGATGGAAGTATACATCGGCGACATGCTGGTTAAATCCCTGCACGCCAAGGATCATATATCGCACCTATCGACGTGCTTCGACACTCTGAACGAGTACGGGATGAAGCTCAACCCCGCCAAATGCACCTTCGGTGTAACAGCAGGCGAATTCCTGGGTTACATCATCACCGAGCGCGGTATCGAGGCTAACCCAAAGCAGATATCCGCAGTTCTAGACTTACCTTCTCCGACGTCAAAGAGGGAAGTACAAAAACTCACAGGCCGAATCACCGCCCTGAACAGGTTTATCTCCAGGTCGACGGATAAGTGTCTGCCGTTCTACCAGTTGTTACGAGGTCACAAGCATCATACCTGGAGCGCTGAGTGCGAAGACGCCTTCAAACAGCTGAAAACGTACCTCTCGACACCCCCCATTTTAGCTAAGCCCGAGCACGGCGAGATGCTCTTCTTATTTATCGCTATTTCCACATCGGCAGTTAGCAGTGTTCTAGTTCGCGAGGATAGGGAAGAACAGCGTCCAATATTTTATGTCAGCAAATCGCTAAGTGACGCCGAGGCCAGGTATCCGACCTTAGAAAAATTGGCGCTTGCAGTGGTAGTTTCTGCTCGGAAACTTCGGCAATATTTCCAATCTCATTCAATTACGGTCTTGACTGACCAGCCACTCCGAACCATTCTACATAGTCCAAGCCAATCAGGTCGCCTCGCGAAATGGGCCGTCGAACTAAGTGAATACGACATAGAGTACAAGAATCGAACCAGCATGAAATCCCAAGTACTCGCCGACTTTCTGATCGAACTCCCCAAAGAGTTCGTCGTCGAACAGCCGCCTCGCGAGCTATGGATTCTGCACGTCGACGGATCGTCATCTCACCGGGGATCAGGTATCGGAATCCGCCTCAAGTGCCCTAACGGCGAGATCCTCGAACAGTCGTTCCGCCTTGAGTTCCCAGCATCTAACAATGAGTCTGAGTATGAAGCTCTACTTGTCGGGATGCGATTGGCTATCGAGCTCGGTGTGCGACATCTTCACGCTTTCTGCGATTCGCAGCTCATCGCCATCAGTTAAGCGGAGAATACACGACCAAAAATGAACGAATGGACGCATACCTAACAGCGACTAAGATACTCATCGCTAAGTTCGAGACGTTCGAACTCACCAAAATCCCTCGCGGAGAAAACTCGTCCGCCGACGCGTTAGCCGCCCTGGCATCCAGTTCCGACCCGCATCTAAAGAGAAGGATCCCTGTCGAAAGTATCTCGGAACCAAGTATCAAAACCACGCTGAAATGTAACGTTGCTACTCGCCGACGGAACTACGACGAAAATCCGACCTCGGTGGGTACAGAAAACAGGAAGTCGACCCGAACAAACAAGAATGCCGAGCAGGAGCTTAAAGAAAACGCCGAGCACGATCCGGAAGACCTAGCCGCTGATCATGACTTCGAGCACATAACCGAAGGACTCCACAGTCCATCAACCAGCGAAAGCCAGGAAAGCGAGTCCACCGAAGATTGGACAGCCGAACTGCGGGAATACCTCCTCCCCGGCAAAGTCCCCGAAGATAAGTGGGCTGCTCGCCGTCTCAAAGTCCGGGCTGCCCATTACACAATGCATAACGGTAAGCTATTCCGTTGGAATGCATCTGGAGTACTCATGGCCTGCGTTTTCGGGAATGAAACAGTCGAAATCATGCGCGAAATCCACGAAGGATCCGGCGGCAATCATTCCGGAGGTCGGTCTCTCGCTCTGAAAATCAAAAAAGTCAGTTACTTCTGGCCAATAATGAACGCGAACTGCGAGAAGTTCGTCATGAAGTGCGATAAGTGTCAGCGCCACGGTCCAATGATTAACGTGCCGACCGAGCTGCTGCAAACCAGTACGGCCCCGTACCCGTTTATGCGGTGGGCTATGGACATCGTTGGTCCTTTATGCCGATCGACGAATCAAAAGCAGTATATCTTGGTCATGACCGACTACTTCACAAAATGGATTGATGCCGAAGCATACTCGGAGATTACCGCACTGGACGTTCAAAAATTTGTGTGGAAGTATATCATTTGCTGACACGGGGTCCCGCACGAGATCGTCACAGACAACGGACCACAATTTATTGCTGGAACGTTCAATGATTGGTGCGCCAAGTTCAAAATCCGTCTTAGTTTCTCGACCCCGCGATATCCGCAAGGCAACGGCCAGGCCGAGGCAACCAACAAGACAATTCTGGACGGCATAAAGAAACGTCTCGATGCTAAGAAAGGCACTTGGGCGGACGAGCTCGACGGAGTCTTATGGTCGCACCGAACTACTCCCAGACGATCGACCGGGCGATCTCCCTTCTCTCTAGCATACGGACTTGAGGCCCTCTGTCCGGCAGAGGTGAGCATTCCAACTTTGAGATACTCCGTGCTCCCCGAGAACCCCGATCTCAACGACCAGATGATGCTGAACAACCTCGATACCTTGGAAGAGCAACGCTGTCTAGCTCTTCTCCAAATCCAGAACTACCAAAAGCTCGCTGCTCGGTACTACAACAAGAAAATGCGAGGTCGGCATTTCGATGAAGGCGACCTCGTTCTGCGCAAGGTGTTCCATAACACCGAGGAGCTAAACGCAGGCAAACTGGGAACGAACTGGGAAGGTCCATATCAGATAATGAGAATCGTCAAGCCCGGAGTTTACGAACTCATGCAGCTCGACGGAACGCCGATCCCGCGATCCTGGAACTCAGCCAACCTGAAACGGTATTACTACTAAGTCCCAGCTACCACGAGCTCGGACTAAAAAAAAAAAAAAAAAAAAAACCAGTCCGGCTCCGGCCGAACTCATCCCTGTAAACTGAACTACGAGTGGCTTGATCCCTTGCAAAAGGGTACGTAGGCAGCTCGATTTCGAGTCCAGCTACAAATCCAATAAAAACCCATCTTTTTCATTTCTATAGCTAACTCCATATATCGACTCCCCGACCAGGAGATCGAACTAAGTATTCCCCATGAATACAATCTTAAAAGCCGAGATCTGTCTCGCCCGCACTCCCACGGTGCCCACTATTCAAAGCCGGAACCCAACCCGCACTCACTCTTTCGAACAGCAATCCGCCGACCGCGATTCGAGTTCGAAGAGTCCCTCGAGTTCGCCCGCATCGTCACAGTAACATCACGAACTCCAAACTTAATCAAAACAAGCCGAACTCCCAACAGTTCGTAATAAATATCAAAAGAAAATTCAAAGGATAAAGGAAACCATATTCATTAAATATCCGAACTTGCCGAACTAGACGGCAACAAATACATCGCCTAAAAACGGCGGTCAAAACAAAATACTAAGTTAAAACCCCGAGCTACGCGGGCAGAATAGTTTTTACAACATTAAAATAAAACAGGAAAGAAAACTAAGGAAAACTAAGGAGGATTATTAGCGAGCAACGGACGCCGGACTCTTGAGACTCGCTGCCCGATCAGCCGAGATGGATTTGGAGTTCGAGCCAAACTGATCCAAACCATCCGGAACTTGCGTTCCTGGCGGAAGCACGATCCTCGGGATGAGGTCGTCATCGCTCGGAAGCAGGAAGTCCTCATTTGCGAGCCGCGGGAGAGGGACATCATCGACCTCCTTTGTGCAGTTTTTGATCCTGCGCCCATACATCTTTGTGATGTGAGGCGGAACGACCATGTTGTGCTCGCGCCTGAGGAAGTCGCAGAAGCCGACCAGAGCAGTCGCCTGGTTAAGCTTGAGGAATGGCGCCTTTCGGACTTCGGACTTATCCATAAAGTCCTTCATCTTGGCGAGCTTCCCCTCACTCTTGGTTCTAAGGGCGGCCAACATCTTCCTGCTCTTCGACTCGGCCTCCCGGTACTTCCGCCTCTCGAGCTCGCTGGCCTTGAAAGACTTGGACAGAGCGTCTACGTCCCCCTCTAGCTCGACAGTCCGCTTCATCATGGCCTCGACCTGCTCTTTCAGAGCCGCGTTCTCCTTCTCCTTTTCGGTGAAGGCCAGTACAACTGCCTCGTACCTCTCCTTCTCGTCCCGGTACGACGTTTCCAGAGACGCCCTCTCAGCAGCAGTCTCGGCGTTAATCCTCCTCAACCTCTCGACCTCGGAGTCATACTCGCGAACGAGCTCGTTGGTGTCACAGACGAGCTGAAAATAAAACCCAAGTTAAAACACTTCAAAAAAAAAAAAAAAAAAAGGCCCAAGTATTTAGAACGAGGAGAAACTTACAGCAGAGGCAGATTTCGCGACCCGAGCATAAGACTTGGGGCGGAAAAGGTCTTTTGTCTCAGGCATCGGAGACGAGGCCGGCACGATCTGCCTGAAGAGTTCGGCGCAGGCAGACGAGTCGTCGAAGAAAGATCGGTCCTTTTTTTACTTGAGTCGGACCGAGAAAGAGGAGGAGTCGGAAGTACGACGCCTCTTGGACGACCTCGGGTTCTCCGTTTCGGCAACCGGATCTGCCGGAGGAACCTGAGAAGCATTTGGTGAGTCATGAAGGACCAAAGTCCCCTCACTCGCGGCCGTCTCGGCTCACCACCCCTCTTCCGAGACGACTTCTTCACGGACTTGCCCTTCTTCTTGCGGGCACGGTCGGCTATGGTGAGCTCATCTTCGTCCTGCTCACCAATTTCCCCCTCCTCCATTTGAGGCTGAGGGGTCGCCTCAGGAATACTAGTGCCCGTCACATCGCCCTCAGGCTCCACGGATGGGAGCAAAGGGTCAAACGGGCCGACCGGGATATTGTCGGTCCCGTCCCCAACCGCGAGCTCAACGCCCTCACCGGCCTCGTTCCCGTCGAGACCAACGACGTCGATTAGGGCATTATCGTCTTCCTCGTCAGCTCCAAAGTCCATTATAGGGATATCCGACCTGTCGAATGCCATCCTTCTCCGACTAGGTTTGCTAGTCTTCTTCGCTTTCTTCTTCTTTGGCACCGGCCTCGACGAGCTGGGTTCCGCTTTAGTTTTGGCTACAAAAAACAGGTGTCAACCATAATCTGAAAGATAAAAATAATTCAAAGGGCGACCTGGGAATTCGTACCTCTGTCCTGAGCTCTCTTGATCCGACGATCAACCTTCTCCCGATACGCAAGCGGCCAACGACGCTGACCGGCGATACTCAGCTGCTTCGCAAGGTCGGATGTGAGGGAGTGTTGAATGAACCCTGGAACGTGGCGATCTGCATAAGCATGAAAAGATTTGTTAGTATCGACCAAGAAATAGAGGAGTTAACCGTGAGATATATACCAAAATCAATACACCAGTCTGTCCGGAACGTGCTCTCCGGATTCTCAGCAGATACCGAATCCACCCGGACAAAAAAGTAGCTCTGATCCCAGTTCGGAAACTTGCTAGCCTTGTTCCCGGTCACCAGGTCAAACTTCGGGTTGCAATTCACCGACAGAAACCAACTCTTTGCCGCCGAGACCTTCATGATAAAAAGCTCCTCGAATTGAACAACGTTGATGTGAGTCCGGATGTCACGACCGAGCTGGAGGATCCCAACAAAGTTTACTATCGACGCCGGCTGAAGCTGCGAGATCGCGCAGCCGCGACGGTTACAGTATGCAAACAACAAGCGAGGCAGGGGAAATTTCAACCCGGCCTCGCGGAAGTAGGCTTCATAAACACAGATGAAGTCCTCGGGTGCGTCCCAAGGACGCTCATTTGGTTCGGGAACCTGGATAATGATCCCGGGAGGGGCTCCGGCGATCAGCATAGCGGCCCGAACTGTCTCTGGAGATGACAGTGTGGATTTTACCGGGGCGCATACACACGGCCGATCCACGATCGGCATCATGTCGTCGTCGTTGGGATCTTGCGCCTCCTCTTCCCCGACCTCGCGCAGTGGAGCGTCCTCGTCCGTCTTCACATCGGGCTCTCGCTCCAGGATCAGATCGGTAAGAACTTGGCCCTCGGGTTCGCGGGGATTCCGATCTATCCGCTCCGGAGCCCGAATCGGAACTCGGCTCCCAGAACCGACCTCGACGACCCGGGAGTTCTTCCGAATCAGAGATGCATTCGAAGAATGCTCCGTAGACCCCGAGCTCGAGATCTCGGTAGAAGAATCCTCCCTGCGGTGTTCGGGAAGTATCGCGGCCTCGGAATTGGAAGAAGAGTCGGAAGACATTGTCAGAAAGCTTGAGGAAGTGATCGTCGACGAGAGAGCACGGCGGACGGCGACCGCAAATTCTAGAGAGAGAAAGAAGAAAAGTTAGAGAGAAGGGAGAGCAAATACCTTGGCAGTAGGAGCGAAAGTAGGAAATGGGGAGAGCTGAACCCTATTTATAGAAAAAGAGCGAATCATTACGACTTCTCGAGTTCCATGCTCCGTAACGTCTCGATTTCCCGCCTAAACCAACGCGTCTTTTCAGTTCCCCGCAAGCGAAAGTACTTAAATACCCTTGTCAAGACACCAGGGATAACGAAAGGTGCGAACTGGGAACTCGACGTCACCGACCTCGGCCTGTAACCGATCCAACTATAAATTCGGCAAAGTCAGTCAGGTCTGTTTACCGAACTGGGGGGGGGGACCAACTGTTGGTGGTACGCTCCGCTCCCCGGTCCGGACCGGTTAAAGACCGAGATCGGCCCAATTGACTCCGGTTTACGATGGTCTTAGCCGAAATGGGCCTGGCCTGACAGCGCGGCCCATCAAGGAGAAGCCCAGCGACGAGAGGCGGTGAGAACCAAGCGAAAAGCCCTAGAACGTCTCCTCGTTTGCGTACTATAAATAGTAGAATTGTTACTGTAGAAGAGATCTTTTTCGGACCCGGAGAATAGAGACCTGAATATTGTATCGAGTTCGTCGAGAATCCTCCGAACCGAACGAACTGTAACTAAGAACTTAAATAAAATTTGATCGACTTAAGATCTTTCGAACTCAAATTACCGGACCGACCTCGAATAGTTGAATACAGTAATCAACAAGCTACCTGCTCGAATAACTTACAAACTCAAAAGTAATCCTATTCCGCCACCACCATCTTTGCCTATGGGCGAAAGCTTTGATGCACCTTAGGAAATGGACATCCAAAACCCAAATCTGAACACTGTCAATAACGATGGAACACGAGGATAAACTTTTTCTTCCTCAGGTCACTAATCACGAAGCAACAGTTTTCCAAAAAGAGCTCTCAATTATGAAATCAAAATTTCACTAAGCAACGAGCCTGGCCCCTGACATCGATTCTATAATCGAGGATACAATAATAGCCCATTTTTACCTCGGATCGCTAACTAGTGCATCTGGTGTTCGCGTAAGATTAAACTTCCTATTTATGAGGGAAGAGGCGACCAGAAGTCCCATTGTATTTAGAATCGTAGTTGGGCAGGTTCACACTTGGGCGCACAAGGAGGAAAGAAAAATTTTACCAAAAAGAACCCACTAGTATAAAAATAACATTTCGAACTTTACGTTTGGACTGATATTTTTTAATGAAACTTAATTTAGGTACATTTCAAAAAAAAATGCGTAGTTTAGGTTTAAATTAAAAAGATTGATTTAGCAAATGACAATGAATAAAGTCGAAATAACTGGCAATCATGAAATTTGTTAGAAGGAATTGGCCAAAAGGAACTCAAAATATCAAAAAGTAAAGTTTCATCAGGTCGATACGAGTGGAGAAATTTTTGGAATAATTAAAGAATAACAAATACATTAAATACAACCCTATATTCAGGTTTTTTGACTATTTTTATTGATCACTTTAATATTTTTTGCAGGTGTTTTTATTCTGTTTCAAATGTTTACAAAATATTTCTATGTTTTTAGATTTTAAAAGAGTTTTCAAGTAATTTGGGAGAAAGATATGCAAATTAGAGCAAAAGAGCATTTTTGGATAAATTCAGAGCGTCAGAACTCTCAAGGAAAGACAAAGACCTTTTCACTGTCTGATCATCCCGAAATTTGGACACTTAACAGAAGCCTCAACCAGCTTTCAAATGTAATTGGTTTGGAGACATTCGAACAGTTGGATCTCAAAATATTTCATTTGCCACAAAGACGAATGAAGCTGCCTCGAAGCTTTGCGACCACGGCCAGACCTCCATTCTCTGCGGCCAGCAGGACACCACCGCGGCCAACCACTATTTCCCTACGGTCACGCCTCTCATGATCGCGGCCAGCCATCCTTGATCTAGAGAAGCCCATTTTAAGCCCAACTTACTTCTGACCTTTAATCCGAAGCCCTAAACAGCTTTTACATTCCGATTTTCAACCATCCTAAATCCTTTTTTTATATTCCCAAAAAAAAACGTTATAATAATAAAGTACCATCTAGTAATCACAAAAACTCAAATATAAAATTCATACAACTGTACTAATATATACTCGTGAAGTATTGAAGACTAAATATTTGTCTTCTAGGTTATTTTATGCATCTCTTTCATGCTTTAGATAAAGACAAATTCTTTAGCCGTTTTTATCGATTTGTAGAGAAGATTTCAACATTGGATTCATAAATAGAGAAGCTTTTCATCATTTTTTTGTTTACCTTTTTTATTGTTTTCATTAAAACACATGATGATGTCGAGCTCAACTATATCTGAGTAGATCCCTTGTTGGGCATAGGGTTCCTGAAAGGAGCTCTCATAATCAATTAAGGCATCTAGGTTTTTAGATCTATGATTTTTATTTATGTTCTTTGTTTATTCTTATTTTTAAGGCATGTATGCTTGATTGATCACCTGGCGTTTGATCTAGATACTTAGTGTTGCGAAAATTTTCATTATCTGTCTGAGTTAGAATGAAAGGAGCGATTTTGCCATAGGATACAAAATCTACCTAGGGGTAAATCGTGTGTACAGACGAGTCTTGTACAAGCTATTGCGTTTACCTGTTACTGGGGCCAGAGACGAAAGCTACTAGTCAGGGTCGTGGATGGAAGTTGGTTATGACACGAGAGTGACGTAGTCATACCCCCGTACTTTAGCTCTAGAACCCTTAGATAATTTTATCACCAGAAAATCCCAATCTAAAAACCTTAGTTGTTCGAAACTGATTATGATCCTCTAGAAAGTTCCCGAAAGCCCAACATATTTTATTATTGCTTACAAATTCGTGATTTGTTTACTTGCTTTCTTAGATAGTTTTCATTTGCTTGCTTTTCTTAGTTTATATCGTGACACACCCCAAACCCCTTTAAACCGATTTAGTCCAGATATAAACTTATTAGAAATCGTAAGAAAACACTAGGCACATAAATCCCTGTAATTTTGATCCCTAAGTACCACAACCGATCAGTTGTGCACTTGCAACTTTGTTATTTTATTTAGAGTAAAACTTGCTAGGACAATACCTGTCGCATCAAATGTCCAATGTATTCTTCTATTTTTTACTCTAAAATGAGGAACTCTATAATAGAAGTGTGTTTATATTTGAGTATATTCTATGTTTATCTTATTATTGATACCTTTTATTTGTACAAATATATAAAAAATTTAACCTCACTTATTTTACAATTTAACTCCATTTACAATCTGTAAACTGGAACCAATCATCTACATTGATGTCGTCCTCTTGTGATCTCGCAGCATGTAGTCCATGCCATCAAGCTTCAAGAGACTGAAGAATGTATTAGCTCTTGCTCCTTCTTTAATTATGTCTTCAACACCAAAAGAAAATTCCAAGCATTGGTCCCTGATTTGATGATAATAACGCTAATTCATTGTCAATGGATGTAATCACTGTTTGCACCTGTAATTGTTTGTTATCACCATTGTAACACAGGTCTGATAAAGTAAGCACATATCCCTTTAAGGCATCAAACTCTTCAGCATCCATCTCAAAAATTGCCTTGAATTGCTTGTGCAATTCTATTTCAGTTTGAATCAACTCTTGCAACGAAAAGATTTTCTTTCCAGCTAAGTGAAAGAAGAAGAGAGTGTCAAACATAATACCAACTTGCACATCATACTTCAAAGCCAGAGAGGGTATCCTACTAGCAAATCTATACTTATGTAGATAATTTTCTTCCATTAAGGGTTTTGGATGTGGGAAAAAACGTCTTAAGTCATTTTGAGAAAATATGAAGAGCTCTTTTTCAGGATTTTAAACCAGGAAACGTCTTTTTTTTCTTAATACTCCATTGCCTTCAGCTTGTTCATCTGTAAACTGCACAAAATATGTACCACGACCTAGAGGTGGACCTGTTAAAGGTCATCGTCTTCAGTTTGTAATAAGACTTTAAGAAACAAAATTGGTACAAGGTGGTTCCTCACATCAAAGTTTGCGAGCTCCTTTAGCTTCATGACCCATGATATGTCCTTTTTTGTTAAAACATAAGCCAACATTGCAGAAAGCCTCTGTCCAAAGTTTTAGAATCTCTTCAAAGCGTTTTTTCAACTCCTTTGATTCTGATATTGAAACCAGTCTTAAGATTAATCACCCCACCTCCTTAAGATTTCATCAAACAATTATAAAAAAAAATGGATGTGTGAAAATGAGACAATCAATCGGTCTTATCTTCTCGAACCCATCAGAACCATGTTTTCTCAGAAAAAAAAAATCATATTGGACCTTTGAAACCAAAGGATTTTTAACAGGTTAAGGGTCAAATGTGGTTGATCTAAATGGAGCAGATGTAAATGGAGTGGGTTTATCCATTTTAGCATCCTTAGAAATGACCATTGGACATTTCATTCACATGCTAAGCATAAGGTTATCGTTAGATTCGTCTGAAACTCTGTTTGTTTTTGAAGAACATACATTCTCAAACGAGTATTTACGTAGCGTCGATCTAAAGCAAACAGATTTGCTGATCTCCACTTCTATCTCTCCTTTAGTGGTTTCTTCTTCTTCTTTTTTTTTGCTTCAGTAAGTTATGTTTTAATTTTTTTCAGTATAGAAAGTTTAAGTCTATCGAAATCATATTTGGTTAATTGGGATGCATTCTTGGAAGAGACCCTTTACTTGACGAGTGAATTACAAATGTACCATTGTTGATCGATGTGTTACTGTCAAAGCGAGCTACATATGATGTTTCATACCTGTATCCTTTCTCAAAGCTACCTAAATAAGATTTTAATTCTTCTTCTACTGTTTAGACTAACCTGAAGGTCTTAAAAGACAAGGAAGACGAAAACATGGATAAATAAAAATATATAAGACCCATTAGATGAAAATAATGAAGAAAATAGTTGGAGAAAGAAGAATAAAAACAGGTTGAAGATTTCAGAGAAGAAAGAAATAAAATCAGAGGATGATGAAGATAAAGAAAAACCGATTGAATAATAAGTAAGAGAAGATGAATTAGATGAATATGGTAAAAAATGAAAATGGTGAAGAAAACCAAAAAAGATAAGGAAAATAAGTCAAAAACACAAAAATGGTGAATATGAAGAAAAATATCAAAAGAAGAATAAAGAGAAAGTTTCTCCAAGTCAAAACATATGTCGCAAATTACACATATTTATAACACTCACACATAATACACATATTTATTAGCTATTTATTGCTATATTTTCTAAAATATTTAATAAATATGTGTATTATGTGTGACATATTGTGTAACATAATTAGATAGAATATTTAATACACATATATTTAATAATTTAATAATTAGCTAATAAATATGTGTATTATCTGTGACATAATTAGGTAAAATATTTAATAAATATGTTAATACGAATTATTTCACACATATGTGTAATTTAATAAATAGCTAATAAATATGTGTGAGTGTTATACAATATGTCATAGATATTCTAACCCCAGCCCAAACATAGATCAAAAATTAGCTATTTATAATTTATGTGTGATTTACAAGTGTATTATTTTACTTATTATGTTGTAAATTTACAACTTGTAAAGTTGTAATCAATGTTTTGTATTAATTACTTAAGATGTTATTAATTTTATTATGAATACAAAATTCTTTCATTCCAAAAGAAAATGCATTATATTAATGAAATGCATTAAAAAAGAAAATGCATTAAAAAAGAAAATGCATTACTTAAAATATTATATTAAAATCAAACACATAAGTCATGAAAATACCAAAATAGTATTTTCTAAGTAGAAATAAGTCGTATTGACTGATTTCAACATTATATAATAAATAAGTCTAATATATCATAATATATCAAAATATTTAAATTTTTACAACTGCATGTTAAGATAGTAATAAATATAAAAAATATTTAGATATATGAAGAAAAATCTAGTAAAGTATTGAAATAATTGATTCAATCCAGTCGTTTTTGTGGTGAATGGAGGGTTAATCAGGGGCAAAAACTTAAGATTTATTGCTATATTGTCTAAAATATTTTGTTGGTATATTGTCTAAAATATTTTGCTAAAATATTTTTCTCAGATCCGCCTCTTTTATATTAATATGCTGTTTCACGAATTAATAAATTTTAGTTTTTTGATTGAATAGTTTTACGAAGTAATTTCTCATCAACCAGATTTTTTTAATGGGAAATCGGTCATTTAAATATCCAACTTATACAATTTCGCCAAAAAAAAAATATAAACTTTGTAAGTTGGGTATTTAATTGACCGATTTCCCTTTTTTTTGATAATATGTACGACAATGTAACTGTGATGCGTTTAATGCATACAAATTTCTAACATTTTATCATTTATTATCTATTTATCTTCGGTAAGTCAACTTTCTTTGTTACGCATTTTTTGTTTTTGTTTTTCCTAAATTAGACCGCGTCGCATTTGACGTGGTACAACAGGTTAACAATATAATTACTACAAGTGTCTGCAGTTGCAAAAAATATTTCCAAAGTTCTGATATTTAAAGTATCCCAACGTATATGTTGTTTCTATATAAACCCTCGCTCCTTACCAATAAAACCACTACAAAAAAATGAAGATGTTTAACTCCTATCATACTCTTTTACTCTTGGCCATTGCTCTTGTAACATTCCTATCTCGGGTTTCTTAGAAAACCTGAGAATCAGACTGTTAGGACCACAATTTTTCGGTAAACCTCAGGTCGTCAGGATCAAAAACGCTCTAGATAACAATCAACGACATAGACATAGCTGATCCATCTAACCTACAAAAATAGATAGAGATAGATGAGTGAGTAATTAGGGAATTACTCAGTGAGAACTAGACCAGGCTCCCTCTCCACTCATTCATTTTCCACCAACATATCAAGAATAAATCCAATACGAACACACAAGCACTCTAGCAGCGCACAATCAACTAACAAGTACTGAGAAGTCTCCGTCCCACCTACCAATCTAGGCCAAACCACCTTATCACTCGGACACAGGTCGACATCTCACCCTGTCACACAGATAGTAAAACCGGTTGTCACACAGACAGACCCCGTGGGTTGTCACTCCACCAGACGAATGGATTACTGCCACGGTCACACAGACGACACATAACCCAGCATACACGCCCGCACTCGACACTTCTCAACCGAGACAGAGACCTGATCTGGATACCCAAAACGGAAACAGCGTCTCCTGGCACAGATCACCGATCTGGATGAACTTAGTCTTCTTAGAAAGTTGACACTTGGGGCTTCAATTTGATAGAGATAGCTCGTCGTGTAGATCCTCACGGTTCGCCGGGAAAACTTCGCGTAAGGTGGCGGCAAGGGAATAAGAAGGTGACGAAGGAGAAGGAAGACCAAGAGAGAGGCAGCCCAAGGGGAGAGAGAGGAAGAGAGCCACGGTGAGGGAGAAAAGGAGAGGTTGGCGTGGCTGAGAGAAGGAGGAAGAGATAAGAGAAGAATGTGGCTAGGATTCTAAAGGTGAGAATAAGAAATTAAGGGATATTAATAATTAGCGTTAATTTAACTAGGCTGGACTGGGCTAATGGGTTTGGCAGGAGATAAAAAAGATTAGAAAATATTAATTAAGAAGGAAATGATTTAATTAAATTAAACCGGGATTATGAATTAATAACAACCGATATTTAAGAGAACTGGAGGTCGGATTGTTACAATCTTCTCCCTTTACAGAGGATTCGTCTCCAAATCCCTCCAAATACAAGAGCGTATATGAAATGAACGCTCGAGATAGGAATTACGGACAACAGAAGGAAATGACAAAGATTACGAGAGGAAATGAAGAAAAGATTAAGGGATGCATTGAGAGGGAAATGAGAAAAAGAGAATGGTTGAAAAGGTTTTAGGTGAAAGGTAGAGGGAAGAGCATAGGAGGAAACATGGAAGAAGAAATGAAGGAAAGAAGTTGTTGGCAAGAGAAAAAATAAGAAGAAGTGGTGGAACTTTTATGGTGAAGAAACAAAAGAGAAGAAATGATATAGAGGAGTTCATAATGAGGACAAAGGAAATGGATTAAATAAGAAAAAAATTTACAGGAAAGGAAAGAAGAAAATGACAAGATGGTGCAGAACAGACCCTCCTGGTCTGACTTATCCCTGCGCGGCTGGTCCCTCAAGCTTGAGGAAATAAAATAAAGGAAGAAGGAAATGAAAAAAATAGAAAGAGAACATCCATCAGATCAGCCTCTATAATTTGTTATTGTTCTAGGTTTGAAAACATTTAAAAAGGTTTTAAGAAAACATTTTCGAAAACGCGATAAAAACACGGGCGCGACTCCTAGGACAGAGCTAGGAGATCTACCTGGGCTCTGATACTAATTGTAACATCTCTATCTCGGGCTTCCTAGATAACCGGATAGTTAGACATGTTAGGACCACAGTCCTTCGGTGAGCCTCAGGTCTGCCAGGATCGAAAATGCCTTAGGTAACAATCAACAACATAGAAATAGCTGATCCATCTAACCTACAAAAATAGATAGAGATAGAGGGGTGAGTAATTGGTGAATTACTCAGTGAGAACCAGACCAGCCTCCCTCCTTACTCATTCATTTTCCACCAACATATCAAGAATAAATCTAATAAGAACACACAAGCACTCTAGCAGCGCACAATCAACTAACAAGTACTGAGAAGTCTCCGTCCCGCCTAAAAACCTAGGCCAAACCACCTTGTCACTCGGACACAGGTCAACATCTCACCCTGTCACAAAGACAGTAAAACTGGCGGTCACACAGACAAGGCCCGCAGGTCGTCACATCACTAGACGAATGGATTACTGCCACGGTCACACAGACGGCACATAACCCAGCACACACGCCCACACTCGGCACTTCTCAACGAGAAAGACACCTGATCTAGTTATTTCTACCAAACACTAACCACACATTCGGTGAACAATCAAATATGATGGTTCTTCCTCTAATGAGATCATGATTCTTTTTAGTTATATAAATATATATATGGATTTGCCTAAATGCACATGGAAACATCCTAGTCTCATCAGATGTAGTCTTAACACACCAAAAGAAGACAGAGGAATGAGAAAAAATCTTAGATCTAATCCTCACCTTAGCCAAATGCAGATCTGGATACCCAACATGGAAACGGCGATATCTCTCGGCACAGATCTCCGATCTATATGAACTTGGTCTTATTAGAAATCTGACACTCGGGGCTTCAATTTGAAAGGTATTTGGTTGCGTAGATCCTCACGGTTCGTCGGGAAAACATCACGTAAGGTGGCGGCAAGGGAATAAGAAGGTGCTGAAGGAGAATGAAGAACAAGAAAGAGCCTCTCACAATAAATGCTCGAGTTCCCTCTGCTTTCAGTCGAGTCAGCCCAAGGAGAGAGAGAGGAAGAGAGCCATGGTGAGGGAGAAAAGGAGAGGTTGGCGTGGCTGAGAGAAGGAGGAGAGAAGAGAAGAATGTGGCTAGGATTTTCTAAAAGTGAGAATAATTAAGGGATATTTATAATTAGCGTTAATTTAACTGGATTGGGCTGAACTAATGGGTTTCGCAGAAGATAAAAAAAATTAAAAAATATTAATTAAGAAGGAAATAATTTAATTAAATTAAACCGGGATTATGAATTAGTAACAAAAATATTTAAAAGAACCGCAGGTCAGGTTGTTACAGCTCTTGTACTAGCTTTTGCTGCTCCCCTGAATGCCCAAGACGGACCACAAGACTACTTGAGTGCTCTCAACCGTGTTCGATCTCAAGTATATGTGGGTCCTCTGGTATGGCATGAGATGCTAGCTGGCTATGCTCGAAGCTACGCCAGGCTAAGAGGCGACTGCCATCTCATTTTAGCAAATGCTCCCTACGGCAAAACCATAGCAGCATTCTTCAGTGATGATTCCGCTGTGCAGGCTGTGAGCCTCTGGGCTATGGTGAGGCCTCAATACAATTACCAGACTAACACATGTGCTGCTGGGACAAATTGTCTTCAATATACTCAGGTTGTATGGAGAAAGTCGGTGTCGGTTGGGTGTGCCAAAGTAAGGTGTGATAATGGTGGAACTTTTTTCGCTTGCTACTATGATCCTAAAGGCAATATTCCTGGTGAACGACCATACTAAAATTTTTTATACGCATACAAAGATAAAAATGTTCTCCACAGAGGACATGTGTCTATTTCCTATTCAATAAATATCATCATCTATCAGGATGTGGCGTTTCCTTTGTCATATGTAAAACATATATATATATATATATATACTAATATACGTTTGTGATGTAATGAAGTGATACAAAAATATTTGGTGAAAGTTAATTTGATTACTGTAAGCAAGAAGAAGAAGACCGTTGGCTCAATATTACATATTATGATTTTTTCCTTTGTTACATATTCTTGTATACTTGTGTATATTGCATTCCATTATTTAGCCTTCTCGGCTCCTACATATATGAGTTGTAGACATTATATTATACAAACAATATAAAGAATAAAACATCTTCTTTTCTACATGGTATCAGAGCAAGGAAGATCTTGTTCCTGATTGAAATTTTCTTTTTTATATGGAACCCATCGAAAACCAATCCCTGACCCTCATGAACGATCTTACTACAAAAATGGATGAAGTCATCCAAAAAGCATCTCTAACTCATATCTCTTCTGAATCTACAGGTGGTTCTGTTGGAATTAAACTCAATGGGAGCAACTATGCTCTATGGTCCCAAGTTGTCGAGATGTATATCTCAGGAAAAGACAAATGGTTTATATCAATGGTGAATTGGCACCTCCTCCAACTACAGATCCGTCTTATCGGAAGTGGCGCACCGAGAATGCGATTGAAAGGATGGTTAATAAACTCTATGGAACCCTCTCTCATCGGAAATTTCATCAGATTCCCGAAGGCAAAAGAGGTATGGGATTCCCCTGCTAATACTTACTCTGATGGCACTGATACTTCTCAGATCTATGAGCTCGCTCAGCGAGTCTTACAACTTAAACAAGGAGGAGGAAGTGTGGAACAATTTTACAAATCGCTACAAGGGTTGTGGCGTGAAATCAATTTTCGCCGTCCAAACCCCATGGAGTGTATGGCTGATATTAAACACTACAACAAAATCGTTTAGGAAGATCGGGTCTACACTTTTCTTGAGAAGTGTTCCTTTTCCAACAAAAGAAGAAGCATTCGCCGAATATTACGATACTTGAAGGGATCTCTGGGTAAAGGAATCATGTTCACAAAGAACCAGCACTTGAAGATTCATGGTTATACAGATGCAAATTGGGCAGCGGACTACAATGATAGGAAATCAACTGCAGGATATCTAACATTCGTTGGTGGAAATCTTGTGAGCTGGAAGAGTAAGAAGCAAAAAGTAGTCTCATTATCTAGCACTGAAGCTGAGTTTAGAGGGATGAATAAAGGTCTGAGGGAAATTTTGTGGCTGACAAGATTTCTCACTGAGATCGGTTTTAACCATGAAGAGAAAATGAAGCTGTTTTCTGATAATGAGGCTACCATCAGCATTGCTCACAATCCGGTTCAACATGATAGAACTAAACACGTAGAAGTTAACAGGAATTTCATAAGAGAGAAGTTGGACTCTGGTATCATATGTTTTCCATTTGTCAGGTTCAATGAACAACTTGCTGATATATTAACAAAAGGAGTTGATAGCAGGTTGTTCCATGAAGTTTGTTTGCAAGTTGGGTATGAAGGATCCCTACATACCAACTTGAGGGGGAGTGTAAGCAAGAAGAAGAAGACCCTTGGCTCAATATTACATATTATGATTTTTTTCCGTAGTTACATATTCTTGTATGTTTGTGTATATTGCTTTCCATTATTTAGCCTTCTCGACTCTTACATATATGAATTGTAGACATTGCATTATACACACAATATAAAAAAATAAAACATCTTCTTTTCTACAATTACCCTTTGCTTGTTTCTTATATAAAGTATAATTTCGCGAAAGTTCTAAATATTACAAAGTTTGATGTACGGTCATATAGTCTTAATATGAAACGGTGGTTGTTATATCTTGGGGGATAAATGATTCTTCAGATTGATAAGCGGGATAAATGATTCTTCAGATTGATAAGCGTTATCTCAACGGGTTTGTAAATTCTGCTAAGATATTGTAATAAACAAACGTCTCAACAGTTTTCTTAGTCATCCAATAGTTAGATGGTGGTCCAACGACTGAAGTACAAGAAGAATCGGACAATATATCCTTCTGATCGTATACTCGGATTTGTCTTTGCCGTTGTTGTTTCTCGCAATTGTAGTATTCTTTTATATTATTATTATTATTATGTATATATATATATATATATATATGTTCTTAAAGTTTCTAAAAGAATTCTTATATAAATAAATTTCCAAAAGGATTTCTTGACTATATTTGATAAAAAAAATCTATGTAAAAATAAATATATCATGTTTCATTAGAATTTCCAATATTGTGGAAACAGACTAGTCGATGATAGGTTACACATTTTGGTGGAAGGAAATAAACACTGAATGTTTAAGGGATTTGGAAAAAATTTGAAACCTTTTTTGAGTGTAGAAGGACATGTTTTGAACATTATAATCGTGTTTCCTCAATGTTTAGAAATGAGTTTTAAACAATTTTGGAATTTCTTTCGATTTTCGAATGGTGAAAAAGAATTCTATTTAAGAGAAATACAAGACTTTGAAATGATTGGTACTCCAGCTAAATAGGCTAAAACTTTGATTTGCTTTCTTATTAAAGATGTGTGACATATTCGCAATTAATTATTAGTACACATGCAACTAAGGACAAAATACGAAGAAATAGCTCTTAGAGATGCAAAGCAACATTTGGAATCTCTTTGACTCGTCCAGCTATGACTTTTCATCGAATCAGAAGTAGCTATTGACCTATTGTTTACATATGTACTGCCAATTGGCTTGAGCCGTCCTCTATATTTGGTACCAAAGTTGGAGTTCGTAATATGGATTGTCTTGTGTGTGCTCGTCGCCTACTCACTTCGAGTATGGAGTTACACACCTTCTGTTGCATTGCATACGTACTCATTCAATGAAAAACCCTTCGGTGATCCGACCTACTCATTGATGTTTTATTTGACTAATCTTAACACGGAAAAATGGTTGATCCATCAAAGTCATCATAACCCTTATTCAGGTCACATTGACAAGAACTCGTTTTCATAATTAGACATCTATTCTAGTAAACATCAACGTCATGCATGCACCTTACCTAGTAAAAGTCATAGTAATTAACTAGCATAAAACATTAAAAATATATAGAGTATAAAGTAAACAACAAGGATACGAGAGTATATTTAATATTGATTTGTATATTTTGTGCTACAAATTTTCGCCTGAATAATATAAAAAATATATTTAAATATATAAGGAAAGATTTGAAGAAATTTTCTTCCATGTTAAATACTTTATTTTAGTTGAAGTCCTTTCAACGTCCAATGGTTGAATAAAGATTCAGTAATGTATTTTTACTATAATTTGTTAGATTTTATTCAAGTAATAGGTGTTTCGTCTGCCTTGCTCGGAAAGAGAAGTTTCATTTAATAATCACATTAGTCAAATTACTAAATTTGTTTTTAATAATAAACAAAACACAAATATGAAAACAATGTAAGACATATGTTCAACAGATAAAAAATATAAAAAATAAAAATATATATCTATAAAAACTAACGAAAACTAATTATTTTATCAAAACCAAAAAATAATTAAAATAGACAAAAAACTGGTTTAAAATTTATTTTAAAACACTTTTTTATATACAATGTTCATAGTCTTCTATTGTCATTTCCTTTTGGATTTATAATTCAAAATCTTGATTTCTTTCTTTAATTTATCCTTAATTTTCTTTCTCTCTATCTAGAGCTCTTTCTTCGTTTTATAAGAATTGTTTTTTTATTGATTCTTATTTTTCACGCAAACATATTCAAGAAACGATAATATTATAGCGTAGATAAACAACATTTTTGGTAGTTTTGATACCATGTTAAGCTTCATCTCTAAAGTAATCATATTATTTATGTAAAGTAAGTTTACACATTATTTTTTATTCATTCTTTACTGTCAAATTTCTCCATGTTTTGGGAGAATTGACTTTCCTTACCGAGTCTTATCTTTCTCGTAAGCGTGGACATAAAAATATTTTATCCAACCATATGTAATTAACCAATTTTTTTTGCTAGCTTTGATGCTATGTTTAGTTTCATCTCTGAACTTGTCATTATATATATACACATTAAGTTTAAAGATAATTTTAGTTATTCGTTCTCCAGAACTTTCTAACAGTTTCATGGAGATTTGTCTCTTCTTGTTAGTACTTATTTTTTTATGAAAGCGCGGACACGAAAATTTGATGTCAGAGTGTAGGTAACTAAACAATCTTTTTGGTAGTTTGGATACCATGTTAAGCTTCATCTCCAAAATAGTCATTATTAGTATAAACTAAGTTTATAGATTATTATAATTTCTCATTCTCCCTAGCCTAAAATCTCTCCTTCTTTTGTCAGATTATCTTTCATTCTTGTTGGTTTTTATCTTTGAAGCAATCATGAACATGAAACTATTATATTGAAGCGTAGGTAAACAATCCCTTTGTTAGCTTTAATACTATGTTAAGTTTCAAATCTGAATTAGTCATTACTTTTATGGATGAGTTATATTTTTGCTCTCCTTGAACCAGTGTTTAAGAAAGCGTTAGGCGCTAGGTGGACGGTGATACAACGCCTAGTACCTAGAATGCCTTGTCGGAGTCTAGACGATTTTTAAGCGTTTTAAACGTTTACAAATAAATAAATTTATTATATATTTTATAGAGTGCAATATATAAAATTATATAGTTTGTTTATAAATGATAAGTTTTACATATTATATATCTTAAATATATATTCAAAATTTAAATTACACATAAAAAACAAATTTTTTTAATAAATATCATATATAAAACGCTTAAAAAGTAACTGTCATGGTTTATAAACACCTAATGCTTAGGCGGGCAGTCTGTCAATGCCTAACGCCTAGGCGATGCCTAGATGGACGTCTAGACCGACTTTTAGAACACTGCCGTAAATAAGAATACTGTAGGCTTTACAATG